CCGCGCTTCTCGTTCGAGGAGAACCAGATCCTGATCCGCGAGGTCCGCGCTCACTACGCGCAGCTCTATGGCGCGCAGAGCCGTCGGGTGAGCGTGGCCGAGCGGCGGCGCCTGTGGGACGGCATCGCCGCCCAGATCAACGGCATCACCAGCTGGAAGCGCACGGGCCAGGAGGTGCAGAAGCGCTGGAACGACTTCAAGCGCCGCACCAAGGAGAAGCTGGCCCGCGTGCCGCACTCCACGCAGGGGGCTGGGCCCGCCGCGGAGGACGCCTTCTCTGCGGAGGAAGAGACCATCTTTGCCATCCTGGGGCCGGGCTTGATGGTGCCGCCGGGGGCTGGGGCCGGAGGAGCCAGAGTGGAACAGCCCCCCGCGGCCGCCGCCTCACAGCCGCCTTCCTCGAGCGCCTTGGCCCAGTGCTATGTCTTATCCGAGGACCGCAGGGAGGGCCGACTGACGGGTGAGTTCCCTTCATCCGCTTCCCCAGTACCCAAAATATCCCAGAGCGGGGGCTGACCCTCCCCCAAGTCCCTTGACAGGCAGGGCCCTGCAACCCCGTGGGAAAGGTGCTGCTGTCGTCCCATTTTTACGGCAGGGGAAACGGAGGCTCAGATCAAGGAACCGATTCGCCACTGTGAGGAGTGGGACCCAGACTTTGGCCACCTGGCTGCACCATCCCCAGCTAAGACCATCCATAGACTAAGGCATCAACTCCTTTGGGAGCACACAGCAGAGGGTGCAAAGGGTTAAACATTCTAGCCGCGAAGCTGAGGGTAGGTGGTTTAAACCCACCCCACAATTACACTGTGCACCTGCTCCAGTCAAGCCCTCAGCTAAGAAAACCCTTGGAGGCAGTTCTCTAACTAGAGTCACTGAGTTTGAATGGACTTGCCAGCAATCCAGAGCGCCTGCGCCAAAGCGCTGTGCCCGCGCCTAGGGGAGGGACTAGAGACAGGCTGTCTGGATTCTAATCATAACTTCCCCACTCACCTGGGTCAAGTTAGAACAATCCACACACATCGTCAGCCAGCCCTTGCCTAGAGGACAGAGGAGAACTACCTCCAGGAATTTCCTAGGCTGCGATCTTTCCTGGCACTGATGGCCTCCTTTTGCTCCCTCTCAGAGGCTCTGGGGTTCAAACCACTGACTTTCTGATCTGGCAAACTCTTAACCCCTGCCCCATCCGGACTCTTTTTTTTTTTTTCTTCCAATTAAGTGATCGCACCACAGTTTTTGCATCTGTCAAGTGGGGGATAAAGCACCCTG